TCATTGACCACAGGTACCATCTGATTGTACAAAGCAGGGAATTGCTTTGTCTTGGTACTTTGTATAGGTTGTGACATCATGAGCGTATTGACATGAAGTGTGGGCCTTTGTAAGATGTCTCGGGAGGGGAGGACCATGGGTTTACAGTATTCTGCTTTATCTTTTATTGTCAAATCTACTCATTACCAAGGCATAAAGATTATCAAAACATCCAACAATTCAGCATAAATACTCAAACCCTGATGCAGTTCACTATCTCTTACTACCTGCCGGTTCCATTTCAATGAATTAGCGAGTGCCTCTTTTATTTGGAGCTGCAAGCTACTGTTACCACGTGCATGTACCAGGTACACTTGACAGGTTTTTTGAAAGTACAAAAGCTACAAATGATGGCTTTAGAATATGCTCTATACAGCCATAATGATGTACTCAAAAGGTTAAGATTTTACCCAGAAACCAAGGGCTGAGAGGTGAAGACTACGCCTGGGCCAAGCACTGTCACACGGTTCTTCACAGGAAATGGCAGACTGCTACAATAAACACAAAGCTCTGGTTCTTGTGTTAACAGGAGAAAATATTGGTGAATTCTGAAATAATGCTGGTGCTTCTGATTTAAAGAAAAAAACTTCAATATACTCTCAAACTTTGAGCAATTTGTAAGAGATCTTGGCGCATATGTCAAAGAATATATTGATTTGGAACTTGACAAGATTCTTTTGTAATTTTATGCCAGACTGAGAATGGAACACATCCATTTGTACACAGAGACAATATTCGGGTATTGTGTGAAAACAGTTGTGCACATTTCACATTCAGTCTGTCGTCCAATGAAAATGCTCTTACTGTAGCACTCATAAATATTCATTATTTGCATAACGTCCAAAGGATGAAAATAGCCTGGATTGGGTTCCATGCACAGAAACCTTCCCCAAAGTCTCTGGGGAACCAGCTTTCTACATAAGATTAAATTTCAAATAAAGGTGCAGAGATCTCACGAGGCATCATACATAAAGTACTATAGAAATATTAGTTATTTATTTCATCATTTCTGATTTCCTTCACCTTGCCATCTACATTCCTGTCTTCAGAGCTGTTTCCAAAGACCCTGTTGCAATTCTCTCAAGAATAAATAGAGCAAAAAATAGATTTGTCTTTTTCTGTACCTTGGACATGACAGGAACTCCAAGAACATGAACATCAGAAATCTGAGGCCAGAGCTGATTTAGCCCGATTACATTCCTCCGTCGAGAAAACCCAGCAGACTCTGCTCCAACTCGCAGACGAGCATAAGACAAAGCAGGAAGCCCTGCAGCGGTTGAAGAGAGCAGTGGTTGAGCGCCACCAAGAGGTTGAGAGTGGCCAGCATCACGTGGAGAGAGTGCAAGCTGATGTGGAACAAGAGGAGAACAGATTATCAAGAGTAAGATTGATTTCCAATAGTGGTTGCTAGCACAGTCATCCTGTTGTTTCTCTGTTATGTTACAGTTGCTGTTCATTCAACCGCTCAACTCTGCATAATGTTTTTAATACACGGAGATCGTCTTTGTCAGTTGCATGGGGGGATGTTTATATAACACATCATTGCAGTTCTCTATGCAAGATGATGGATATAATCATTCCTACACTTGAGTGATGTCCGTAGTACTTGGCCATACACATTGACTGGAATTAGTCTGAGTGGGCTGAGTTTATGTGCAGACCTCAGGCAGACATGTGCCACACGTGGTGTAGTAAGTATCAGTCCATGACATCATCTTGGAGTGTGATGATTCGGCCAAAAATGTCCCACAACTCTCAGACAGATGACCACCAAGGGTCAGCATTAGCAAAGTCCAAGGACTGTGGTTGGGTATCTTGTCATTTTAAACTGGATGTATTTGGGGCTGGAAATGTCACCATGCCTTGGACAAGTTCCTTGTGCAATAATATTGTCCACAAGTGGTCAATGCCTCAGTGAAAATTTATTCTGGCATTGTGCGTAAGGTATCTGCCCCCTGCATGAAGAAGAGATGGATGCCTTTATGTAGCAATAACTTTCCTTTTGTGGGGTAAAAGGCTTGTGTCTGCAGGCTCATGTATATTTAGTGCTGGATAGAATGAACAATTCCAACCAGTGTCTGTTGGAGTGAAGGATTTTCATGTGTTTATTTGTCCAGACAATGCACTAGCTGTAGAGTAAGTTAACTGACACATTGAGGTTGTTGTGAACAAAGGCTTGTCAGAGATTCTGTGATAACTTGGAGGCATATTCATAGTCAGACTGGTCTGAAAGGTTTCAAAATCTCAGGGCTGATTGTCTTGAGAAGAGATATTAAAAGTTCTCACCTCACACGAGCAAATACTGTGTCATCCATGGAGATGAGTGTTGTCTTCAAGTCCGTCACAAGTCCTTTCACAAGCCCTTTCACGAGTTCCCTCACTAGTCCTTTCACAAGTCCCGTCATACGTCCCTTCACAAGTCCAGTTATAAGTCCCTTCACAAGGCCAGTCCTAAGTAACAGGGTGAACAATGACAATAGAATGTCTTTGTCACAGCTCATTTAAATAGCTTGTGAATTAGCTTAAGACCGAATGACTTGTGATGGTCTCAAATGCAACACTGGCAAAAGGTTCTTTCAGTTATAACAGAAAGGATGTAAAGTGATGAATTTTGGTGGTTTGAACAACACATTTGACTTTTCACAGCTGATTGGTGGATTGACTGTTGAAGCTGAGCATCTTCGCTCTGATATCACCACAAAGAGGCAAGAATTGGAGGAAGCAAGGCGACGGTTGATGGAGGTGCAAACACAGACTGAGCAGCAACAACAGAATAGAAGGACTGTCAACGAACAGCAAGCACACATCACACAGCTTGGTAGGTATAAAAACAAAGCATCAAAGTACCCAAAGTACTGTGGGACCACACTGTTTTCCCGGAGATCAGCCAACATTGCAGTATGAGATTAGTGCATACCACACATACAGTCTATTCACCATGCAGCTGCTGGTTCAATGGGGCCTGCTGCTGGACAAAGCCCTCCATTCAGGGCATACCACAGCCCAGCAGTCATGGTCAAAATAATCCCATTGTGAAGGGGTTAACTGAGACTTTGGGGCATATTATCACGTTAAAGAAGTGTGAATTACCTCATCAAGTGTCATAACGGGTCCCACTTGTGCCATGTATAGCTGTCCTCATTGCACCAATCCATCGTTGGGTGCTAGTGCCATTTGTTTTCATTCTTCTGCCATTTAGAAGCCTTCGAAAGCTTACCTACCAACTAAATGCTGGGCGTGGTGACAATGTACGTCTGTCACAATGGCAGATGTACATCACGTCACTTGGATCAGTGAGAGTGACCCATGCTTCCAACAGGCTCAATTATCATGTTATATGGTTGTTGTTAGGTTGTAGATCCTTGCTGCAACTCACGAGGCTGAGACATATGTTAAAGAGGAGAAATAGTAGATTGGGTTTTCAGTCCCTACCTGATTCTGGGGTTTTCCTCCCACCTCTAAAACTGTAACTGCTTCTTATTGTCTCCTCTATACGGGTTGCTTCAGGCTTGTAAGCTACAGTGGCAAAGGCACTTTTGAGGAATCCGGGGTGTCATTACCAGAAATGATTAATAGTAATGATAATATTTCCAAATAGGTCCCTTTGGAGAAATCTTGTGGTAATGTTTTCAACATTAGGGAGACATCGGTCATTAGGGAGACATTTCAATGTCACAGAAAATAATAGTACACAGTAATAATAGTACATCCTGTGACTTGTGCCTCGACCCTCCCACTGCAACATTCTGGAAGGTGTACAGCCCTGACAACTTGGAGGAAGAAAGGTCATATCCAAATTTCTTGGCTACGGCTTCACCTAGCACATTAATGGAAGTTGTTGGTTAATGGCTTCATGAGTGTAATCAGCAGCCGTAGCCAAGTAAATTGAGACACAGTGCAAAGACAGGCTGTGGCAAAGTTCATCATGGAGATGGAACTTGACATAAAAGCCATAGACAGAGCAGCACCCGTAGCAACAGTCAACAAGGTTGATTCTGTTAACAGTTGTACTGAGATTGGGCAGAAGCAGATGCTGACAGATTAAAGACCAGAAAAGACACCTGTTCAACTAAGTTAGTAGTTGATATTCTGTAAAACAGAAGCTGTAATGATGTCTGATGTGTAGATATTTCTGAAATATTGAGCCCATCCCACAAACTCTGCTGTTCTCTCCAAAGTCAGACCTTTAGGGCTGAGATTGCCTTAGGCCTAATTAATGGTTTATATGTACCATGGCTGTTTCAGATTGTGTTTGTCAGCAAACTTTGAGAAGGGTTGTAACAGAGTGTTTCTCGATAATCGAATAATCTTCCTTTTGACACTTTCATTTTTTGTCAGAGAGTGATATAAAAGAGCGGCTGGAGGAGAAGACCAAGCTTGCCGAAGCTCTCAACTTCTCACATACTGAGATGAATTCGCTCAGAAAGGTAGGTTTTGCAAAGAACTCACAACTTTTAACTCAAGTCAAAAGGGGGTTCAATCTTGAATCAGTTCAATATGGTAAAAAGAATTTTGGTTGCATTTGCCGGGATGCATAAAAAGCATGCCACTTGCTTCCCCATCTATGTATTTCTGTTCGTGATGCAATCAACAAAATTAGACAATTCTCAGACAATTTATTTTGAAAACATCCCAAACAAAAGTACCATAAACGTTAAGTGTTTTGATTTCCATAACTTTTGAACCAGTGGTGATATCAACATGGAGTTTCCCACATCATTGAAGTTGGCATTGCAATCTTTTCAATTGCAAAAGCTATGAATTGGTCCAGGTTGGTAAAAGGGCCATTTTGCTTGAATGTGTCATATTTTTCTTTGTGAACATTATAGGATAAAGAGTCCTTGGAGAAACGTTTGTCTGAGATCATGTCAGAGCTTGATGAGACCAGAGACAGACTACATCATGCCAAGCAGGTTAGCACCAGACTATTCACTCAATGTTGTCACCAGTTTGGAGAAGTCAGGAAGCTGGATTTTTAACAACTCATATGCCTTCATTAAAGTACTCAGAAAATTTGATACATTTACAAGGCTTCTGTGACTTTTGAAATTCATTTTGTGATTGTATTCATAGGTGGTTGGTCAGATTTGCTTGACTTGTCTTGCTATTAATCACTCTAGCATCAATATTTATTCCAAATTCTGTAGAAGTTCAAAGACAGGCAAATGGAATTTGAGCGAGAGGTAGAAGAGGCCAACATGGCTGCCAGTGAGCACTGCTCACAAGCAGATAGGCTCAGTCTGAGACTCAAGGATGTCACTCAGCAGTACATACAGCTCCAGTCGCAGGTCAGTGAGGAACTGTCAGCCATCTTGGTCTGGTACCCTATAAGGGTATACTAATGATCATTAGTATACAAATAATGAATGTTTATGAATGCAGAGATAAGAACACTTCCATGAGATGACCGATAAAATGTTCCATTCCATGAAGCAAAAGCAAGTGAAATGGAACATTCAATCTATCACTGAATGAAACTTCTTTCCATTGCATTAATATAAAAGATTTACACTTTACTGAAATGATTAAATCCTCTTTTTTGTACAAGTCACAGTTTTCCTGTCTAAGTCCGGCATAAAATGGCAACCCAAATCAATTCATGCTTCATTAGACACACCTGGGTGTCGTGCAGGTTGCTGTGATCATTTGACCACATACTTCATGTTGTCAGTATCAGCATCATTTGTGAGATCAGAAATGTCTTCATCATTTAAAAGACAAACAGGTACTTTGTGCTTATTGCTATATTAGCCACCAGCCATTTTGAATAAAAAGCTGTGTTACAGCACTGAACTGTGCATAGCACTAAGTGTGCATTTTTCATTGTGACAAAAATGAGCTCGGTCATGGAATCTGACTGGACTGTTGTTGCAGAGGGCAAGTGGCCCGAATAATTCATGTCACATGATCTGCAGTTCCCCAAACAGATGACAGGGATTTAGTCAGGTGGTGAATAAAAATAGGCAACTGTGTTTTTTCCTTTTGCAAATGGTCTTTGGAAGTGAGTGTACCCCTTTGGTGTTCCAGTAATACATGAGCGCTTCAGCTTTTCGTATAGAGCTCATATCTGTTGGAGTTATGCTAACCAAATTTGTCTAATCTGCAATTTTTGATTCAATAAGAATATGGAAATTAAATTTCCTTATAAAATAGACTGTACAAATGGTATTCAAGTATATAAAATTTGTTATGTCACTTTTCCTCTGTTGGAATATGTTAATTAGGGAACATTATCTGCCCTTTTGTATCACGCATGTGCTAGAGATATTTATGAAACATATCAACAGAAGAAAATTAATTTGATTGAATCAAGGCCACAAATTTGAACCAGCAAGCATTGTTTACATGTTCCGAGTTTGTTTACATGACAGAGTTCCAGGGAGCTTGAGGAAGAGCGTAGGGCAAAGGCAGAAGCCCTTGAGAAGCTTAGAGAGTTGTCACATCGAGAGGAAACAGCTAGTGTGGACGGAACATCTGATCTGGACGAACTTGAAGATCTACAGCGACAAAAGCTGGATTTAACAAAACATCTGGTTGAATTGCAGTCCAACATACAACAGGTAAAAGCTATGTGAGAATCTGATAATGACAGCCTTGAAGTGTCGTCATGTGCATGGGGGTCATTCCATAAATTAGGAGTCCTATTTCTTTCGTGTACCTGTCACATCCGATTTGTGATTTTGTAAGTTTAGAAAACATTCTCTAATTTCTAAGAATGATGGATGAATGCAGATTACCTGCCAAACAAATAAGAATAGTTTGAAATCAAAATCCGTGTAAAATTACACAGATCAGGTGTAACAAGGACACAAAAATGTTGCCGACCCCGAATTTATAGAGTGACCCATGTAACTTATTTATCCTGGGTTGAGTGGTTAGTGCTTCATTCTGTCTTCCCATAAGATATCAATTCTGAACTGGCAGAAATTTCAGTTTCTGCAGGTAAGAGGCAAGCTTGCAAGGAGGGTTTGGGGGCCGTCCAAAGGTTTTAATATTTTCACAGTCGCACAAAGCAGACGAAGGGGGTTGTGGGTCGTAGGCCATGTACGACATTTGGGGCTTTGTTTTGTTGATTTTTCAGTAGTATTCTCATTTATATGTAAACTGTGAAAAATCAAGGAAAAAAAAACAAGCATTACATGTAATCATCAGTCGCACACTGACAGCTGGTACCGATGGAGGGTAAATCCGCAAGATTCCCATGCATCGTGCATGATATGTACATGTACTTTCCATGTTCTGTAGGCCTACCAGCCATGGCGCGGCCTGGCCCGGTACACACAGCATTGATATGATGTGTACATGCGAACAATGTATCAGTGCACAGGCCTCATGTGTAATACTATCCTGGAACCATACGATCGTTGTGCTGTGATTGGCTACTTTTGAAATATCAAAATCCAAATTGTCAGTGGGACTCCTTTGAGCCCTGCCTACGTCAGGGGAAGTAGTGACTAACAATCTCCACTATAATGCGTGGTAGCATTCATTTCACCATAAATTTGCAGCTTGAAGTAAGGTCTGTAAACTTTCCTTTTCTCTGATAGAGGGCTTTGATTCATGACAGTGCAGGGCAAAGTTGTGTAGTCATGCATTATCACACAATTTTACATGCTGTACGTGCATCGTTTTGTATGAGATTTCAAGTAATGTTTGGATATAAACTGAGCAAAATGTCGGTACAACACAAGTGTATAAGTTGTCCAAAGAAGCTCTGACTTGGATTCAAACTTTGACAAGACCGATCCTCATCTTACAAATCCGAGGAAATGAAAGTGGATGGAATACACTGTAGACAGGCAGGTGACTCAAATAAAAAAATCCAAAAGCCTGGATGTGCATTCTGTGATGTGCATTCTTTGTAACAAAGAATTCAAATTTTGAAAATGTGGTTGAATCAGGTGGGAAAAGGTACAACTCTCTCCACAAACCTTGATAATGGATTTTTTATGTGATTATTTTTATGCTTGAAGAAGCATTGACCCAATCCAGAGTTGGTCAAACCGATGATGGAGGAATATGCAAATTTTTTGAAAAATGTGATTTTTTTTTCAATTAAAAAAATACAACTTTTGGATTTTCAGTAAACAGTTTTGTGATTTCAGAGGTTGGCTGGTCTGAAAACGTTTGTGAAGCCCAGCCTAGCTATGAGCACGAACAAACAGCGCAACAGGCGAGCAGTACAGTACCTGACTAAATAACCTTTGATATCATGGTGCATTGTTCCCGATGCAGTGTCCATTTTTATCCACATAATTTTATCCCAGTACTGTGGACGTGCACAAGATCATCATTGATGACAAAAACATTTCTTTTTCAATAATGTCTCTAAACAGTGTTTTTCATATTGAACCTTTTTATTTTTAAAAATGAACATTTTCATAAAAGCATCTGTGTGCCAAATAATGGGGACTGTCCAACAATGTAGTGCCTGCGGGAGTTTGTTGATATTTGAGGATGATGACAGAAAGATGTTGATAATTGAATACTAATTGGGGGAGGGAGGAGTGCCTTGAAAAGTAGTACTCTGTGTACTACTGTGAAAATGTTGAGAACATTGGACAGCCCCTTGCTCTTCAGAAATTCCATCACTAAGGAAAGCCCTAGACTTTAAACACAGACAGTGCCTTCAAAGAATCTAATCCCTGATTGGTTGGTATGCATGTTGGGTTTTTCCTGACCTGTGCTCTGATTGGCCACAAGCTCAAGTGCATGTGCATACAGAATGCAGTGCCTTTTCACATGCAGGAGGACATTTGAATGATATTGGCTTGTAGAGTGTTTGCTTGACTGTCTCATGGTTTGGCTACAGGCGAGACTGGATGCATCCCTGATACGTGATGGTGACTTCCTTCATGACATGAGCTCTGCTGAAGAGAGTCGATGGAGGCAAGACAAGGAGAAAGCCAAGATGCAGGAGGAGCAAGACAGACTCAAGGTAGATACCATTCTCGTGTCGCTGTTCCAGGGGTGGCTATCTAATCCCAGGTGTTACCTCTGCTCTGAGCAGGAACAAGACAAGGTGTTTTTTTTTAACAGAGAATCGCCGGCCCTTTGAAAGGAACTCACTGCATGCATGCACACAGCTCTGCGCGCACTTGGTGTGTGACAAACTGAGCACGGGTAAACAATTTCTTCACAAGTAAGCCAGGCATGTGCAAGAGCCCTAGTTGAAACATTTCCCACCAGTCTGTCTCTTCTTTACCAGTGAGGGCGCTCTTCAACTTCACATATGAAGGGAGTGGTTCATCCTTGTTTCATAGCAAAGTTATCCACCCAATACATGTGCACAAAGAGTAGAACTTCTCTGACTTTTTCAGTCCGAAAATGTTGCCCTGGAATTTGGTTTTTGGAGCCATTTATTTTGAAAATAACATGACAGAACCTTTTAATACAAACTGGTTGGCATTTGTCCAGTAAATCTGTTTTTGGTTTGAAGAAATGATGTAATTTTTAATTTCAGAAAGGGATTTTCAGGTCTCCACATTTCAGACATGAATTAACATTGAATAATGTCTCAGTATTGATGTCATATTCAAATATTGGACAGATTTTCTGAAATGAAGTTGGTTTGACACTGAATGAAATCCTGTCATCATCCACAGCTTCAAATCCGGCAGCGTGTCTCTCGCCAGGCTGAAATGTTGGACAGTGTGAAGGAGAGAACAAACTCCACCTTGCACAGTCTGAAGCGAAAGCTGGATAACCTAGAAGGCCTGGTCAGCAGCAACTCAGCTACGGCTAGATCAATGGCTTCAACACAATCCAGTGTGGACGGCGACAACTCCCTCAATGAGGTATGACAATTTCATTTTCAGGTAAATTTCATTTTCAGTTTTCCTTTTCATTTTGTGAAAATTTCATTTTAAGGAAAAAAATAATTCACTAGTTATCATTTGCAAATGAATCACACGTAATGTTTCTTAAGCCCGTTTCCCACTTGGTGTAACCGTACACTTATCAAAGAAGTTAATCTAGATCCTCCATCTTTCAATATATCAACAATTCCTTTGACAAATCCTTTTTATCCCTATTTGAAACATCTTTTAATGCTCTATAATTTATAGTATTTCCAGTGACTTTGAAATTAAGTTCCTGTCACGAGTCACTTCTGCTGTTCAATCCATCAACTTTCCTCATTTATTTAACATTTAATTGATTGAACAAGCTTTCGTATTTGGTCCACATGAACAATCCACACAAAGTAACTAAAACGAGATGCTGTTTAGAAAGATATGATGTCACAAAATACTCCCGCGGCCAATGAAAGAATTTATGCTTTGTGATTTCATTTTTGTGTGTAATTATTGGTTGGCAGCTTGGTGTGGGTAATTCTGACCGATATCCTCAGCATGACACGTCTCCTATCAGGATAACATCAGGCAAGCACAGACCACTCAAAGGAATATTAAAAACCACACAAGAGGTTGGTGTCTGGCATTGCTTTGTGAAAGATTTCAGTTCAGTCGCAATCTGGAGTTGAAGATTGCATCCAGAACTAACAAATTAGAAACAGGGCAATTTTAGATACAAGTAAGTTTTAGAATTGGTGATTTTTCAGTCATACCATGATGCAGTGCTCTCAGGGAATTTCCAAAATTTTATTAAAATCTCCAAATCAATTTCCCAGAAATTGATCAGCTTTGAACAATATTTTTTAACATCCTGTCTTAGAATTTTCTTTAAAGAGCACATCTAAGGAAAACATGTTTTCTCTGATTTTATCTGTTCAAATAAATGTGGAAGCATCCAAACCAAACGCAGCGTCATTTGTCTTCAGAGCTCCACTATAACAAGCTAAAAGGACTTTTTTCTGTTTATGCCAAGATGCGAATTCTGAATGTAGATTGCATCATCGAGGAGAACACAGAAAACGATGGTAACCGTCGCCCTGTGTTCGTAGTGGATAAACCCTTGTGCATTCCAGAAAATGCATGAACAGAAAAAAAAAAGCCCATTTTAGCTTGTTATAGTTGAGCTCTGATGACAAGTGACACTGCGTTCAATTTGGATGCTTCCATATTTATTTGAGCAGATAAAATCAGAGAAAACATATCTCACTTAGAGTTGCTCTAATGCTACAGCAAATAAAGTTCTTGAGTGTAGTCATGCATAAGACAACTTTCATTACAGTTTGTAACTGTAACTAAACGGCCTGGGTGTTTGGAATGCGTGTGCATACAATGCACTTCAATTCATTCTTTAATTCTTGGGATGAGAAGGGAAAATTGTTTAACCAGCCCTATGAGGATTTTTTCAATTAAATAAAAACTGTGTATGAAATTCACATGCAAGCGTTTGTGGTTTCTACTTAACCACTTCATGCCGGGGCAATTTTCATGTTGTTGATGATGCTGGGCCGGCATGACTATCATTTTTTCCGTTTTCGAAATCCTTCAAAAATTCATCATTTCATTTAATGGTCATTTATAGCCGCAGG